AGGCCGGGTAGGTCAACGGAGCAAGCGCTTCTTATCCTAGTCGACGCAATCTAGTCTGCCTAGAAAGAGTATAAAGTAGTCACCCTAATAGCGTTCGACCTTAAAGGCGCCTTTAACGCGGTAAATAAAGAAGCTCTAGATAACTATCTAGGCTAGAGAAGAATCCTAAGTCAGGCAAGAAAGTAGATTAGCAGCTTCATATCCGATAGATCCGCCTCAATCTTATTCGACGGATTTACTAAACCTATATCAACACTTAGCTACCCCGGTCTCCCATAAGGCTCTCCTCTCTCACCAATTCTCTTCGCTTTCTACAACGCAGACCTAGTAGACCAACCAGTAGATTTTACCGGAGGCGCGTCCGCCTACATTAACGACTACTTCCGGTGGAGGGTAAGCCTCTTAGTATAAAAGAACCTAACAGCGCTATAGAGAGAGGATATCCCGAGAATCTAGCAATAGGCACGGCGTACCGGATCGACTTTTAAGGCAGACAAGACCGAGCTTATCCACTTTACAAGAAACACCAATCAGGACTGCCTAGCAACCGTAACAATAGGTAGACACGAGGTCAAACTAATAAAGGCGGTAAAGCTACTCGGAGTAGTTCTCGACTAAGAACTTAGATAGAGAGCGCATATCTAAAGAGTAATTAAACGAGCTACTACAACCTGCTTAGCAATAGGCAGGCTAGGGCATCTTAGACCGAAGCAACTCCGCTAGCTATACCAAGCCTGCGTAGTCCCGCAGATAGACTATACCTCTATAGTCTAGCACTCCCCCAACAGGTGCAAGTAGCAAATATCGGTTCTCTCCAAGGTCCAACGGCTAGCAACAATAAAGGCTATCTCTACCTTTCGTTCGGTATCGACAGAGACCCTAGATATAGAGAACTTTATTTTGCCTACAAGATTACGCCTCGAATCCAGGGCAGCAAGAGTTATTACTAGTCTTAGGGGGCTACCTACCTCGCACCCTGCCTACGCGTTAGTCCCTAAGATCGATAAAACCCGGAATAAACTAGCGAGCTTCTTAAGTCCGCTAAAGGCGACCCTAAAACTTAGCAGCCTAATCCCGCACTAAGAAACCGAAACGATAGACATCTACCTACCTCCTCCCTAGCAACCACTCCCGGTAGAGATTAAGACAACACTACCCCCGGATAAAGATAAGGTATTCTAAAGTCACGCGGAAAAGAGGGACCCGCTCTCCCAGGTCTACATAGATACTTCTAAGATAAACAACCAGCTAGGAGCAGCAGCAGTTATTCTAGACCAAGCCGGGAACGCCCGATACAGTACGCTTAAAGGAGTTAGATCTAGCAATTTCTACACAGTATAAGCAGCCGAACTAATTGCTATTCTAACGGGGATAGAGCTGGCAGCTAAAAAACACCTACAAGAGGGACCCTATAGCCTAACCAAATACGTTATCTACAGCGACTCTAAAGCCGCCCTCTAAGCTCTAACTAGGAGATATAAAAAGAGATCAGGCCAAAGCATCGTACGGTCTATCCTCAGTACAGCCTAATCTCTCTATAAAAGTCTCTAAATAAGTTTCACGATCCAGTAGATCCCAAGCTACTACGGTATCCAAGGAAATAAGGAAGCAGACAAGCTAGCTAAACAAGCCACAACACGTCTTAGAGAACACAACTTCCTACCCTTAATACCGCTACAAGTCAAAACAACTCTCGAAGCAGCACATAAGTAATAGAACAAAGAATAGAGAGCGTTAGAGAAAGGCCAACACCTCCGTAACGTAGATACAGCGATTCCTAGACTATACGTAAGGCACCTCTACGACAAGCTCCTATATAGCCTAGCAGGGCTGCTAGCCCAGTTAAGAACTAGCCACTACTAGCTCAACCAGCACCGAAAACGAATAGGACGGATAAACAACGACAAATACGAATACGGGGATATAGAATCAATATCCTATATATTACTAGACTATTTACTACTCTAGGAAAATCGGCAAAAAATATATTAAGAAACCGGACTCTAGAGAAACTACCTCTCTAGCCTCCTAGGCGGTAAACCAACAGACAAGAACCAGCCTCGCACGGAAAAGAGGAAATAGATAATTTCAGCCGCTCAACTTAAAAGGGTACTTTCATTCTCCCGGTTTACGTCCGCGAACTCTTGTTTATTTCTCGCGTAATAACCTAGGAACGCAAATAAACTTA